CATCCTTTGGACCTGGGGCTCCTGCTCAGAGAAGCTCCTAGTCCAGGAAAAGACTGACGAGAAGGACCTTCTTCCAGAGCTGACAGAGAGAGAAAGCCTTCCCCTGGAGCTGACGCCCTGAATTTGGACTTGTAGCCTACTAAACTGTGAGAAAATAAATTTCTCTTTGTTAAAGCCAACCACTTGTGGTACTTCTGTTATAGCAGCACTAGATAACTAAAACACTACATACGTTATACCTTAATAAAATGTTTTTAAAAAATTAAGGATAGTAAAAAGAAATTGAATAAGATCTAATTCCTCTATGGAAATGCATATTTCTCTTATAAATAAAAAATCTTATGTAGCAGAAACATTTGAAAATTATAATGGGTGAGGCTACACCATGGTATCTTATCTTTGGAATACTGGAATCACTTTTGTTACAAGTTAACAACATGCCTGTCTGCCTCAAAAGATTAGGGATGTCTTCCAAATTTCTCTAACTATGACTTTTTCCAATACATTCTGCACTTATGGAAAACAAATTATGGTATAAAGTAAGAAATTTCCCCCCCAAAATAATTTCTTTCAAACTACACAAGATAGCCTATTTCACTATTCAGAGATGTGGCAAATACATCCATATTTTTCCAAGTCAGATCATTGATAATCTTATAGACTTTTGTCATCTTCCTGCTCAGCCTTCATCTTTTCAAAAAGTTTTAAAACTTTTTATTATGAAAAAGTCAAGCATATCCAAAGGTAAAAAGAACGGTATAAGAAATCCCCATATACCCAATGACCCACCTTCACAGATTATCAACCTGAGGTTAATTCTTGTTTCATCTAAACCCTCACCTACTCCACCCCACCTCAGATTATTCTGAAGTGAATTCCAAACATTATCACTTCATCCATTAATGGTTCAGTATATATTCATTATTAAACAGAACCAGAATACATTAGCACATTCCTAAAAATGTAAGTAATTTCTTTAATATCAAATATCCAAATCAATATATTAATTTCCCCAATTGTTTCTAAAAAACTTTTAATAAAGAATTTTTAAATAAATTTCTCTCTCTCTCTCTCATACACAATTTATTTGTTAAAGATATTGGGTCATATAGTTGTACTTTCTCAGCCCGGCATTTGCTGATTCAATTCCCTTGATGTCATTTAATATGTTCCTCTGTCCCCTAGCGGTTGGATATAGAGGCTTAATCAAATTCAGATTTGATTTTTTTGATAAGAATATTTCATAAGTGATACATTTATATCAGCAGGCATATGATGTCTGGTTATCTTTCTTTTTGTAATGTTAGCATTGATGATCACTGCCTAGATTCATTATTTCATTAAAAACCAGCCAAATCAGTTGCCGTCGAGTCAATTCTGATTCATAGTGACCCTACAGGATAGAGAAGAACTGCCCCATAGAGTTTCCAAGGAGCAACTGGTGGATTCAAACTGCCGACCTTTTAATTAGCAACCCAACACTTAACCACTGTGCCACCAGGGCTCCTATTTTAGTATTTCATTAGGGGTTACAAAATGGCGAAATTTGAATTCTATGATTTCGTTTTCTTTTATCAGCTGGGGTATTTCCATAGAGAAATTGTTCCTCCTCAGTTATTTGGTTATCATAAAATATAGTTTGCACAGAAACTCAAGATAAATGCTTCATTTTTTTTCTCCCTTTATACACCAGTTTTCAAAACAAATTGGTTCCCTGGCATCTTCCAAAGGTAACCCGTTAGTTTTTATCAGGGTGATTTTGTTTTCAAGAAACATTATTAACTCGTGGATTGAAATGTTTTTGGTAGAACCTGTAACTTTTCATCTCCTGAGTGTTTTTTGAGGTGGGGACCTAAATTTTATATTGTACTCCTGATTCACTAATGTTTCACACAAGAAGAATACGTTGTCAATATTCCGTGTATATTATTTTGGCTATAGAAATGTATTATTCACTACTGACTCAAACGGAACAGTCTATTTTCTTTCTGTCTTGTCCTGGAATCTTGTTCTTCCATTTGCATGGTTTTCTTTTTAAGTCTTCCCTCATCTTCCAGCAGCCTCTCAATATAATTTTTCACACAATCAACCCTATCAATTTGTTCCCTCCTCCCCCCTCCCCCTTCTCAAAGCCCTCCAGCTTTTATCCTTCTCCAGCTTGGAATAGTTACTCTGCTAATGTGCTACACAGCTGTGGTCCTGGAAAATCTGTGTTGAAGCCCTGGTTTTCTAGATCTTGTTGCACTCCCTCATTATGATGGAGCTCATCCACCCGTAGCTTCCCAGAAAAGGATGCAGGGAGACAATTTTTTGGAAACTTTTTTTAAAATAAGCCTTTTATTTTAGAAGTTTTAGACTTGCCAAGATATATACGTGACTATAGTACAGAGTTTCCATATACTCAACCTTAGTTTCTATTACTACTAACAGCTTATATTAGTATGGTACATTTATCACAATTCATGAACCAATCCTGCTCCACTGCCGTCGAGTCCATTTCAACTCACAGCCACCTTATAGGACAGAGTAGAACTGCGTCAGGGGGTTTCCGAGGCTGTAATCTTATGGAAGCAGATGGCCACATCTTTCTCCCTCAGAGCAGCTGGTGGGTTTGAACCGCTGACCTTCTGGTTAGCAGCCAAGCTCGTAACTACTGTGCCACCAGGGCTCCTAAGAACCAACACAGATATGTTATTATTAACTAAAGAATATATTTTATTCAGATTTTCTTAGTTGTTCCTGAATGTTCTTTTTCTGTTCTAAGGTCCCACTTAAGATATCATATTATATTCAGTAGTCAAGTTTCCTTGACTTGGCTGTGACAGTTTAAGAGACAAATTTTTTGATATTGTATATCTTAAAAAACAAAAAGCCTACATTCTAACTTCACACACCAGGGTTTAACTGGGTATAGAATTTTAAGCAGGAAATCATTTTACCCAAAACTCAAAGACAACTCTCCACTGGCTTATAGCATCAGCAGTTTAAAACTGATCCTGATTGCAGACTACTTGTAAGGGACCTGCTTTTATGTCTTTGGGGCTTTTAGGATTATTACTTTATCTTTAGGTCTCTGTCATAGTAACATACCTTGGAGTGTGTGTTTTTCCATTCACTGGTGCTTGGCACTGTGGGCCTTAAAATTCATGACCTTCAATTCTGGGAATTTCTTATATTAATTCTTTGATAATTTTTTCCCCACCATTTTCTCTTCATTCTCCTTCTAGAATTTCTATTAATCAGGTATTGTACTTAATAGTTTCTCTATTAATCTTACTTTTCTTTTTGTTCCACTTTCTTAGTGATTTCTTCAACTTTATCTTCCAAACCTTCTATTGACTTTTTAAATTCAAGTTGTCGATTTTTTAATTTTAAAGAGCTCTTCTCTATTCTGATTGCTCTTTAAAAACAACATTATCCTGTTCATGTTAAAGATCCCTTATCTTCTCTTGGAACCCTGGTGGCGCACTGGTTAAGAGCTTGGCTGCTAACCAAAAGGTCAGCAGTTCGAATCCACCAGCCGCTCCTTGGAAACCCTATGGGGCAGTTCTGCTCTGTCCTATAGGGTCGCTATGAATCGCAATCAACTCAACAGCAACAGGTTTTGGTTTTTTGGTTTATCTTCTCTTATTTCTGAGAACGCTAATTATAGTTTGTTCGTATGTCTACATTTTCTACTCCCTGTATTCTGTTTCCTCTTTCTTGTTGATTGTCTTCATCTGTCTCATCTTGGCGGCATTAAAATGCCATTAGTGTGAATAGGTGGAGTGATTATACTGTGGACTTTGCTATGGGGCAATCAACTGGCAATTGGGGCAATCAATTTCTTATTGGGGAACCCACAAAAATAAGTATCTGTCTTTTCTCCAGGACCATTTGGTATCTCTTATGATGCATTCTCCAAT